TTCTGTTTTGACTGATTATAAATTAATCACACATTATTATGATAAATAGAAAAGGATAATAACAAACATATTGTGAAATATTGTCATGAAAAAAATCTTAATATTTAATTTTATAAAACAAAATTAAATATATTTAACTAAATTGAATCAAATAATATATAAAATTTTTTATTTCGTTAAATTAAATTATCGATGAACAGACTGCAAACATATATAGATGCTAAATAAGGACAAACATGCGAGAATGCTCTGGAATTTTTATCGTTATGAGCTTTCGCTTTGGGGCTCTCCTGGTCATTATTTAGTTTTTATCAGATCTGCTACCAAATATAATTTTGCAAGCAGCGCGTTGCGTGTCTCCGTAGAAACCAGTTCGTGAAAGAGATTATTATTTCACAATTGCCAAGGACATCGAAAATTTTCCTTACGATATAAAACAGCTTATGTATTTTCTATCCGCAAGTAATAATCTTGAAAAATATTTCTCAAATATTTTTTACCAAATAACGTGAAAAGTTTATCGAGATACGTGATCCGTTAAAATTTTCCGCAATCTACTCAACTCGACCACCAATGTGTAAGTGTTGTTTTCCAAATTTGTAGCCGAGAGATGATTACGTCATAATCGTACCACAGGCCGCGTTGTAGCAGCTCACCGTTTGAATACCACGCGATAATAACTGTGCTCCATATCCGAGAGAGCGGGAGCTGGTTGATGCAAGCATCGGCGCGTTAACATGGACCTCTGCCGAATCGTTTAACATTATAATGATCGGGCTCCTGAGAACAGTTAAGAACAGGTAGGAAACACGCGACCTGTTACGAGAGAGCGGGCGGACCCCCCGTGGCCTCCGTTCGCCGGCGTATACGATGTTATCTTCATCTCTAGAGAAGCTAGAGAAGCTAGCACCGCAATGGTAACCGCGCGCGTAAACAATGGGGACCGGCCGAGCGACTTTTGATCATTCGGATGGGAATACACGTGCGTAAATGTGTGCGCCCCATGAGAAGTACGTGCGAGTAGCCGTGCGGCGGAACACGCCGAGTCGCCGTTATTATTATCGCGAATATCTGCGGTATTCGGCCGCGAATACCCGCATATACGCGTCGGAAATGTCAGCCGGGAAGACTTACAGTGTACTCCGTCGGCGAGAGCTCTCTTCGGATATCAGGTCTTCTTCTTTCTTTTAGGTCGCCGCGAAATAAACAGCCGACAATGGAGATATTATGGCGTGCAAAGCTGAAATGCCTGGCATGTACATATATCTCGCGAATTGCGAATCAGATTTCCTGACACAAGAACATATCTGGTAATAGGAACCGTAAATACTTGTTGTATATTATTGAAGATATGAGTATTATCCGGCAAGGCACATTATCGTTTAATTGTTATTTAAAATCATTGAATTATAATTTTATTTCAAATATTAGATTTTTTTTAATTAAAATTAATGTTAAATTATTAAATTATTAAACAGAGTTAATTTTATATTTTCTATCTTTTTTAAATATTTTATTGTATTATTGTAATATTCTATTACATTAATATACACAATGTGCATTGCGGGATGCAAGAATAGTTCATGGTGGCGCAGGCTGTCGGAAGAAGCTGAGAGCTGATTTCAAACTGACTGTTGAAGTCATTATACTACTGATGATAATTTAATTATAATTATTATTTCAAATTTTAATGCATATGATTTTTTATATATAATTTTATTAGTTATATAATTTATCAAAAAGATTTTTTTTTACACTATTTTATCTAGTTTAAGTCTTTTCTTTTACTGGTGGTACTTTAAATTTGATGAATCTTTTAGCCTGAACGAAGCTATTCCACATATTACAGACGATGAATGTGTTGCTATATGGAAGGAGTAATATAATGATTAGATATTTATTCTACATAGTTTATTGTTTACAACATGTGATTTTAATTTCTATATCTTTTTTTCTTTATACTTATAAAATTGTAACTAAAATTATAAAAATTTTAATAATCAATAACAATTACATACAATAATCATTACATAACAATTATTTTACACGAGATTAAGGTTTTACATACAATGCAAAAATGGAATCTATAATATATATTTATGATTTTACATTCGTGAAATGAAAATATTAAAAGTGTGATCAGTTATAACACAGTTACCAATTCTAAAATAAATAGCTTTGAATGTGTATATAAAAACAGAATGGTCGTATGAGCAATAAAAAAATTCAAAGTCACGTGTTTAACATTATTTAATTCCAGAAAGCTCAATAAACATGCGCTCAAGGAACGTTCGCTGCGAATACGATTTCGCTGTGGACTAAATTATAATATAATATAATATAATTTGATAATAAATAAGAGACAATAAATCCATAGCGAGTAAATTCAAGGATCTTATACATGCTAAAAGTAATCGCATATATCTGGCAAAATCGCATATATCTTGCTAATATTACTTATATAAAGTTAATTACTAGAAGAAGGACGTAGCAACGTGCCGCGATATCTACAAATGTATGTAAAAATTTTTTTTACGAGCTTATAGACTACATCTACTAAAAGGGTACGCCGATGCATTCGCGAATATTGTTTCTCGATTAAGGCTTGGTTTTTTCGCGGTGCGTTATGTGACGTCAGAGAAATGACATAAAAAATTTCTTGCGTCGTATTCGTATAACTCTATTTTATATTTTTTCCTTAAAAAAAAATGATATTTTCATATTCTTGAAACTTTTAAAAAATAAGATATCTGTCTAATAGATATCTTACTTTCTGATGTTTTTTTAAGAATATGAAAATATATTTTGAAGAAAAATACAAAATATAAAGCTATACGGCGCAAGAAACTTTTTCTCATTTCTGACGTCATATTTCAATATTGCTGTAGCGAGAGAGCTAAGCCTTAAAAGAATAATAAAAAAGATACATATTTACGCAATGACAAGAACTGATATTCTAATCATTGTGATGCAATGTGTTGACATAATAGCTACATTTTTCAATAATAATATACATATATAAATGTTGCTATGAATTCGCTTTTTTATATATTAGAAAAAGCCGCTATTTGTATCGTATAAAAAATTTAAATAACAAAATAATTCACAATAAATAAATCTTCATGCGTTATTTTTACATATATTGTATGTACATCTTTATTTTATTTATGTTGAGTTGCATTTTTCTATATTTTTATATTTGAGCTTTTAGAAATCATATGTATTAAAAAAATTATAGTTGTGTAATGAAATAAGTCTTTGCAAAATTGTTGGACAGTGATGTTGATGAATATCATGTATACTGCTTTACAATGCGAAGAACGTAATTGCGCTATGTACATTGTTATATAGTAGTATGTAATAATAATATTATATATTATAATATTAATATTAATATTATTAATATTATTAATAATATATATAATATATTATAATATATTAATATTATTATAGTAGTATATAATTGAAGACGTTTTTCGCAACGCGGCCGAATATACACGAATAGATACAAACTGGAATCGAGAATTAAAAATACTTTTCTATCGGAGTCTTTGAGCTCTACGCGAACGTTTTCGATGAACGCTCTTAGTTGTACAGCTATTCAGTCATTATATTGAACAGCGCGTGCTGAAAGTTAACCCTTTCCAGCTTTTCATACATTCTACAATTCTTTAAATTCTACTCAAGTGTTACAACTATTCGCACAATTTTTTTTGCATGTGTCACTTAACAAATGGCACGTTCTGCTTGCACAAATAAGTCGCTTATTCCAAAAGCGATACGTGAGTGGAGAGTTTTGTCAAAATTTTTATAATCATCGCTTTGAAAATAAGGGACACATGTATGCATATTTTACGTACATATTTGTAATATTAAAAATGCAGGAACATGACGAGAAGCTGGTTATGAAGGAACTATCAATTCGTGCCGGAAAGGGCCAAATATATATTTATGCGAGTTTATTTGTACAAAATAGGATTTGTGCTATTTGTCATCTGGCGACGCTACTTTATACAAGAATGCTATTAAGTGGACCCTTAACATATTCCGTATATAAAAACCTTTTGCAAGAAAAGAAATCCACTCGTGAAGAAATCCACAAAATTCATCAATAAATAATCGCATCTATGATCGAGTATGCAGCCAGTTGGTGATTAGTCTTAGATTGATTAAATTGTGATGTGGGTGTGATTGCCATGGCGACGCGTGATCGACAAACGCGTAGTCGCATTCGCGATGAGATATTAAGAAAGGGTGGGAAAAAAGGTTGCTTATATATCAAACTCTTTATGTGTAAGCAGAAGAGTAACGAGCAGAAAAAAAATGTCATGGTCACGCGAACGCGCCGCCACTCGCAAAACACCGGATTATCTTATTCAAATGCGCTAGCTCTTCCTCGAAACACGGCTTGACGAAAAGTAAAAGGAAAAGGATAAAGAACGATATATACGATGCGTCCCATTCATCTCAAGAGTCAGTCTTAAAGATGCTTTGAGCAGAAGACGACGGAACTAATGGATGAAGGATGCACCGACATCGATCGTCTCTTCCGCTTTCGTCGCGAAATCTGCATCTATGAGAAGCAGCTCTTCTCTTTTGCACCCTTTGGTTGGTACTTGTCTGCGATGACGAATAGTGTCGGTCATCCGTGTCAACGACGATCAGATGATGCGACTTAATTTCGCAATGGAAGTCAGTCTCAAAAGTGAATCGGTAAATTAATTTCGCCATTGATAGTTAGTTGTCTCGAATAATATATATGCTACCAACTCTACCATCGTACTAAAGTATTTGGATTGGCATTCTCGCATTTTTCATCATTGACATTTTTGTATCATTATTCTATCGGCAGGAGCCATTTATATTTCTGTTTTGAGCTGCTGAAGATACTCGTTTTATGAATTATAATTTAGACGCCCTGTATTTACCATAATAATCATTTTAAACAAAAAGATGCGTGCTATCAGTAAGATTTTTTTGTTTAAACAATTTACATTCTTTGATGAATTATTTTACATAAGCATCATCGTTGAACTATCTATTAAAATCATTCGAGACCGAATTTTGCTACTATTATGTACATTTTTAAAAAATGCTATGCAATCAAAAGTGTAAGTAAGAATTCTCTTATAAAAGAAAATTTTCATTGTAGAGTTAGATCGCAATCAGTTAGATTGATTTGACTTTTTTATCGTTCAGAGAATTCAGGAAAATATTTGGCTAGTTAAAAAATGCCATCAGCACATCAGCGAGAGCCAATTCTCTCTGGACTCATTAAAAGAATTCTTTAGTATGACGCTGGTGATTACATTCGACGAAAGCGAAATTACCTTGAAATCATATGTTAACTTCCTTGATCTATTCTGGAATGATCATCGTCATCATATGACATTGATCTTGTACAGTTATATCCCTTTAACTTCGAACGTACCTTGAAATACCTGACTAGTTCTCAATCATAAAATTCTCTTTCATAAAATTGTCTAATTGCGTCAGAGTACTGATACGTCATCAGTACTTTTCTTCTCGGTCACCCCGGACGTTCTTTCCTCCATCTGGATATTCCCAGCGCTACCGTTACTACATGGCTCGGTCAACTTCAACATACCTGGTTGAAGATTGACGTATCTGTGAGGCTCGTTATCTTTAATGTTGGAATCTTCGCCATGGAGCCACGCCTGTTTCAAAATCGAAGCTCTCGTAGGATCCAACAGAGGACTAGAGCTGTCCTGTTCGCAGGATTGGTTGATCAAGGAGTCTAAAGTCTGATCGTCGTCCTGCCCGTTCAAGTCCAGCAGAAGCGGAGTTGGCGAGTTTGGAAACTTCAGTCCGTGTGTTTGCGAGGATAAACGCTGTGATGGCCACGGAATAGAAAATTTACGGTTACTCTCCGACAGTTGTATATCGAGTTGCGCGGTGTGTTCTAACTGCACGCTCGACAGAGGCACGTCTAGACAAGGTGCGATGATACGAGGATTCATAGCCAGAAAATCCACGATCTCCGGCGCCGTTGGCCTCTTTGTATGCTCCACATTCCAACAGGAATACATTAAATTTTCGCTGCGAACAAGAATGAAACAAGAAGAAAACAAATAAATTATAATATTATAATTATAATAAACAAAACAGAATAGGTCTCATCGAGATGATTACTTACAGCTGTATTTTTATTTTCTTCGGCGCAGTGAGACAATTGCCAGCCTTTACATGGGTGAGTACTTCATTGTTGCTCATCCCTTGGAAAGGAAAGCTGCCAAAAGTGACGATCTCGTAAAGTAGTACACCATAAGACCAGACATCAGACGCTGGCGTGAAGATACCTAGTGCTAGTGATTCTGGTGACATCCACCTTACCGGTAACATACCTAAGCGGAACAAATTTCACAATAAAGTTACATCTTATAAAATCGTAACGTTGTGAAAATGAAATTAATATATGCATCTTCTTACCCTTACGATTAAATTTGTAATAATCATTCTCGTACATTGGCCTCGTCATACCAAAATCACCAAGTTTCACCACTCGTTGAGCGTTCACTAGACAATTACGCGAAGCGATGTCCCTGATGGGAAAGAAGAATGAAAATCGAAACTTAATAATTGTGATGTCAGTACGTCAATGTCAATAATGTCCATTAAATTTGAAATTGTCAGACTCACCTATGAACATATTTCAATTGTGCTAAATAGCTGAGTGCTCTAGCAACATCCAACGCCATGGCGGTTAATTTTTTATTCGAGATCTCGTCAGAATCTTCATAGCTTCGATCATTAACCAAATGTCTTCTGGCTAATAAATATGTCTTTAAGTCGCCATAAAGCATAAATTCCATCACGGTCAACACAGGTTCACACTTTATGCACACGCCCAACAATTTGATGATATTTGGATGCTCGAATTTCTTCATAACTTCAACTTCACTTAGAAAATCGAGTTTCTCGTCGGTCGAGCTGCCGACTTTCAGGGTCTTTACGGCGACAGCTAGCCAACCTTTCTCAGTAAAGAAAGCTTCACCGCCATAAACAGTACCGAAAGCTCCCTCTCCGAGTTTCCGGTTGATCACTACTCGATCTCGAGGAATTTCCCATTCGTCCAAACTGGAAGTATCCATTTGTGTTAGGATACCCCAGGACTTCATGTATTTTTCATGCATCTGCATTTTCTTGTCATAGCTAAACAAATAAAAAAAAATACAATTAAACAAAATTTTGAAAGCATATCTTAAAGAAATTTCTGTTTTCTTCTACATAATATTACTCGTCTATATTACGATATAATAAAAACAAAACAGTGAAAAAAATATTTATTGTAATAGACGTACTTTCGTTTAATAAAAATAAAGCTACCAATCAGAACCACTCCCAGGAGGCCAAAACCGATAATATTAGCAACTACGATTGCAACTTCACAAGAAACGTCCAGTAATTCTGCCAATCCGCTCAGGACGCATCTCGATGGAGGCTCCGAACCGTCATCAGGCATCGTTTCCGACAACCAAGTGAATGCCGAAATATTTAGATCTAAGAAGCCACCGGTTACTTCATGTTTGGCTTCCGAAATATTTGGATAAAAGTTACCAACGACGCGTGTCTCATTATCGATAAACTGTACAATATTAATAACAGAGTATCTCGATGGTCCACCTAAAAATTTGATTCTTCCGGATACCTATAAAAAATAGAAATACTACTTTAAATTTTCTATTATAAGCTATTACTTTTATATATATTAATCAAAATATATTGAGAATTAGTTAATGAAAATTAAATTATTTATTGAAAATTATAATTATCAATAAATTATTTTTTAACAAAAATTTGCAACAAAATTATTATAGTCTACCATATATATTTCTTATATCATTGTATTTTAGGCTAATCGATATGTATATATATATTTGCTTCACTAACCCCATAAAAATCGGTCTCGCCGATAATGTGCGTGAGACGATTGACCGTATGATCGCTGTGAAGATCGAAAACGTAACTCTGGTTCTCACGGATAAGTCGATCCATGGCATAAGCATAAGTCCACATGGCGTCGTAGGCGTAACCGGCGTAGTTAGAGGGTTGTTGATTCTGCGTTCGGCAGATGTTCTCATAACGATCGCGCCATTCGCGCACAGTGATTCCCTCCTGCATTATATCGTCATCTCGAGCGAAGTACGCGTGCGACAGACCGAGATGCCCGTTTATGGCTTTCATCATTTCACCCGTAGTGCAAGGTACTTCTTCGCCGATCTCATTGTAATGATCGGTGTCATACCATTGTGGCTGGAGCCAAAGCGGAAGGAACCAAACATAACCCTTTGAAAAAAAAATAAAATTATTAAGACGAATTTGTCTTTAATTTTGTATTTTAAGTTTGTATGATTTGAATGACTTGAAAAAATATGAAAAATAATGTAATTTTTAATTATTACCTGGACAGCTGTCATCTCCAATTTATATGCTTGACACATGACTTGACGAGCCACCTCACCGTATATGTCTGCGATAATAATTCTTGCCCGTTTTTCTTTCAAATTTTGCAAATACTAAAAATTAATATCATAAAATTATCTATCACGATTGGAGTATTCATTTACATATAAATATTGTATGAAGAATATTAGAGATTTCTTCTAATAATTTATAGACATTTAAATTAATAAATTTTATTGGTGTTTGATTATATCTATTATAAATGGAATTTAAACTTACTTTCGTCATCACGTCGGCTTCTCGCTCTCTCGGAAACTTGACGTTCGCCACGAAGTCAATGCTATTATCCCTGAGCATATCCTGCATGTACGATATATACTCGGTATATTTCTGTCCATCCTCGGTCAGTGAAGCCACTCGATGCCAACCTAGTCTCTGGAAAAGTTGCACATAGACATGTTTGTACTGCTTGTTTTCACCAATGGTCCTGAAGAAATACGGGTATTTGGTGCGATCGTCAAAGCTGGAACCTTCGGCGCTGTAGCTGATAATCACCGTTCTATAGTGCTTCGACACTCCGACCAATGGCTCTATTGTCTCCGAACAAGCTGGTCCCAATACGCCAACCAACTTCTCATAGTAATTATGTATGATGTAATCGATGAAGGATTTCATTACCATATCTGACTTGCACTGGCCGTCACTAGCTAACAAAGTCAAGTTATAATCTCTCAGCAGAGTATTATTAACGTTGATGACTTCTTTCGCCATTCTAGCGGCGATCACGATCGACTTGGCCATGTAGGAGTTACCACTCATGGGAAATATACCGCCTACGTAGAGAGTATTCTTGTCATCGTTGTTCGGCTTCCACTTCGCAAGGGTATAGTTCAAATTATCCTTCAACCAATCGCAAGCGATGTCTTCATCTGAAGCGTCCACAGATCTTATACGACGTGTGATCAAATCTTCATACATTTCCCGAGTAAATTTGGCGCGGTTTATCGCTTGGAAGGCGATCTTCGCGATCATCTCCAGCCTACCCCACACCAATTTTGTCAATCTATTCGACTCGTATGCGCAGCCGATCGTTTTCTTTTTCGTTCCGCAACGTGGAAAATCGATCGTCATAAATTCCCTTTCGTTCGAGATCACGCTACTGGGCGAATAGTGCAAAATCACCAATGATCTGAAAGAAAAACTTTGCTCTAGAATTCCATCTCGTTTCTTATAGTATCAATATTGATCGACGGCTTCAACAAAATAACATAATTTTCTGATTCAGTACCTGGTCTCAGTGAAGGTTGAAGCGTTCTGCATGTACTCTTTAGTTAAATATTTGGTTAGATTCCTGAGATTCGGTCCCACCCACGCCACCTTAACGTAGAGCTTCAGCTGATCGATGTGATCTTTTACGAAACGCGTCACATCAGGATACTCGGCTAGCAATAGCGCGCAGTTCGGCGGCCTCCGCTGGCCTTGACCGTGACATTGTTCCGGGACATACATCCCGTGTTGGCAAAAGTATTCGCGGCAGTAGTATTCCTCAGTGGTATTTCTCCCAGTGGTGTTCGGAGAGCTTCTCATGAAATTCTTGACAATCGGCAGATATGCCTCGTCGACGACGAACCTGCTGGCGGTCTCCAACCTGGTAAAGACCAACCAACTGTCATCGGGTCTGGCTAACGCTTCCGGAACAAACCAACCGAAGTGTCCTGGCGGAGCTATCGAGCCACATTCCTTCACGTCGTATTTGTTCAGCAGCGGCGACGTGTCCTGCTGCGGCGGAATCCACACTTCCATGTTCACCATCGTTTCTGGAAATCTGCGATTGAGACGGGAATGTTAATCACCTGATCCGCGAATATTTCTCCGAGACGGAATTTAGCTACCTGACTGACTGAGTCAACATTTCGATGTTATTTTCGAGAAGTAAAGATAAAAAAATATAGTAAAATTATTGATAGTTTATAATACGTATAATCGCGATCGCAACAAAAAGAAGAAATGAATTTGAATTCGAAAGTTTAATATTTTTTCACTTTTTGTGATTGTTAAATATGATTGATAAATATTAACTGACTATATAATTTTTATTATGTATTTTGTAATATATTTGTACCATCAAAAATTATTAGTCAATTTTAATGTCAAAATATTAGTCGATCACAAAAAGAATTGTAATAACAATTACAATATCTTACACACTTAGAAGAATACGCTGTTGATTACACGAAAATAAGTACTATTAAATGATGGAGAAGTAAAAACTTTGATTACTGATAAATACATTCTGAAGATCGAAAAAAGCAAATCTACCATTGAAATGGAATATAATCGCTCAGCGAATGAGATATAAAGCGTGTTTGCGATAGATGTTTTCGATCGTTAATTTGGTCAGACACTTATTGACATAGTATGACGTGGTGTTCTTGTGAATCGAGTATACAAACGAAGTTGAACATCCTATTCATTTTATGCAAACATCATAAAAGAAGATTCGTTGAAAAACAAGTGATTAAAAAGTTCTGACGTAATTTTACAATGTTACAATCGAAAAAAATATTAAAAGAAGATATTGAAGAAATATTCAAGGAATAAATTCGAGCTCACGGTTACACAACGATTTTACTGTCATTCGTTCATCTTACATTCTGTACGTCGTGTAGGTCGGCATCTCGGACAATCTCGCAAAGACTTCGGAGGCATTGAACCTGTCATCCTTCTCGACAATGACGACTCCTGTGTATCCCAATACCTCGGTCAGGAAGATTTTCATAATCTGCGACGCCAATCTCTGCGTCACTCTTCTCGAAACTTCAAATTCGATGTTCAAGAAATGACCCTCGTGATGAATCACCCTCTTTGGATTGACCTCTGCGAAAAGTCGGGATCCTTCGAATTAAAATAATCGCGCCAAACAAAAATCAATAGATAATTCCGAAAACAAGAACTTCGCGTGGATCCGAACGGGTAATAATAAGGATTACAAGATTACATATATATATGACAGCTGGAAAACGAGCGAGTTGAAAATTGCTGCGTATGTAAAAATGAACATACGTATGTAGAAATGAACATGTAGAAATACAAGGCCGTTCTGCCCGTTCGTCCATACTGTACAATGTAAACATCTGAGAAAAACATGTAGCCGGGGCAGGAGCCGTTTCCGGCCGTTGCCGATCCGCGCGATGACTATGTTTAAGCGCACGATAATAAGCGAGTAAACCGCGCGACTCGGCTTACATTAATACGCATAGAAAATACGTTCAACTCCTAATTACGCGCCGCGGGGCTCGATAGATCTAATTACCGATCGGCTGCGCTACTGATCGTGCACGAGTGAATCGTGAGAGCGATTCAATTAGCGTCTAGGCCGCGCCTAGCTATCGGCAACAATTAGCGAGCATTTCCGTATGACGCCGCCGCCGTTTTTCCGACGGCGTGCCAATGATACCGCATCTTCGGAACTGACAACAAACGCGCCGTAATTGAGCCGCAACGATCGGGCCCGGCGATAATGACCGACGATTTACCTTCCAGCATTGTCAGACAGCGGTTGGAGTCTCCGATCTTCAGCGCGGCCGCGAGGACCAGCAGGCCCACTATGGATCCGGGTCTCAGCATCGTGACCTTCTCATCCTGCAACAGACAAGACGATCGGCATGTTCCATTGAGATCGCTCGTTAGAAATAGATTAATTTAGTCACGGTTGATTGGCTCGTGAGATAACAAGACGATCTTGCTTAGAGACGATCGCATTATTACTAAGTTGAAAATAGCTGCGCAGATTGAAAAGGATGGTGGAAAATAATAATGCAGGAATAATGGAAAATAATAATGCAGCAATTAAAACTTGAACTTGTTATTCTTCTTCTCTCTCCTCCTTCGCTCACTTCGAAAAACATCATCTCTTCTTTTTTTCCTTTTCGAATATTTATAGCTATAATCACAATGTTATTCGAAAACAGATTTATATTTATCACACCAGCCTGTGATTTATGCGTGTCTTTGAGAAATTTCGCAACACGTAATAAGCAGAACAAATTAAATGACGATTTAATGAGAAATATAGAATGGTCTCTCTCACGGTGAGTATGTACATATATAACTTCGCAAGACCTTTCGAATCGATTATGTATTCCTTCACCATCAACAATTTCTTGCCATTTGAAACGTGTTTGTTCCGTCTACATCAAGAATTCACGACAAACATTGTAGCGAGGCTGACAAAAATACGCGTAAAACGTATAAATAAAGTTTCTTAGATTGTCTCAGGTATCTGATCGAGAAATGACGCCGTGTTTTTCTGAATCAACCGGCATATAAATAACATTCGCGCTCGACATTATGTCTAGAAAGTGCTGTGGTGCACACAATGGATTCCGTTCGAAAAATAATCGTGACGACGCGCAACCTGGACCGTGAATGTGCATTGTATTTTACAAAGTATCTTGCTGAGAAGAGAGAGAGAGAGAGAGAGAGAGAGAGAGAAGAGGAGGGAGGAGGAAGAGATCTCCTATTTCCTTCGCGTAATAAAGTACTCGCATGACCCTTCGCAGCATCTGGCGCGAACTCTCAGTGGATCATTTCCGCGATTTAATCCGAGAGATTAAAGGCTTCTAAAGGAAAGTGTGAAAGTCGTAGATATATCCGTGTCTTGTCTCGCGGTCAGAGGCGCAACTCTCACCGCATATTTATGCTCCCCTCCTTGACCTCCAGGTACCCCTATTTAGATCATTTTTGTCACTCGAGTCGATCGACGATTTCACGCGGCAAGAAATTGCGCGCCACGCATTTGTATTTATCGCGCGCTGTTATGTACCGTGAGCGATATACGATATCGGCATCGTTATCAGGTTGAGGTGGCGTAGGGCGATAGGGTCGCGCGGGGTTACGGAGGTAACGGACGTGTTCGAACAGCCGGGGTACGATATTATCTTCCCATGGCCTGGCTCTTGCGGCGATCGAGGAGGCGCTTTTTTATGGTTCGCGAGCGATAGTGTTACAAGATACGAGAGGCGGATCGGAAGAACTTCCGGAAACTTTTTATGTACGAGCGATACTGATGCTGAAAATTTGAAAGAATCGATGTATTGATTGCAAAGAGAATCGATTCTTAAGATCCAGATAAATGATGAGAAAGAACGCTTGCCAGTATCCTTACTGCGTAAGGATTAAACAGTAAACAATAATCTAAGCCGATATGTGTTTTTAAAACGACAAAAAAAATCATGAATAGTTGGTCAGATAGATTTATCTTATTATTGCCACTTAAATATTATACCACATGCCTCAGTGATCGAATGTACATGTGATTAAGACACTCACGTGGACAATGATCCAGATTCGATTCTTGATTGGGGTGATATTTCTTGCAATAAGAATTTCGTTGGGTGGGAAGTTAATTAATTTTCAAAATTGATTATTGATTTGCTAAGAGAGTGAATTCAGATATTGCTTTAAGCGAACTACGTTGCAAGTTCGATGATTTAACGACACGTGGTTCGCGATATAAAGCATTTGCCTTGGATTTATATACAGGGTGATCCCGAATTCTCTATAACAAAAAGGGTACAGAGAATTAAATTATTTTTCAAATAATCGATTAATAATTGATTATTTATAGTCCAGAATAATTGATTTTTCAAGAATCGTGAAAGAATTTTACATCTTTATTAAGCGATGGGAAGAAACGCCATCGGGGGGGGGTCTCTCTGGCAGCAGGGTGTCACGGCGCCGATGCGCACGATGACTCGCGATTTAAGTGCATTCGACCTGAAAAGATTAGAGTTCGCTGAGTATAAACGAAGCGTGACTCGTTTTGTATAAGATTGTTCATAGAAAAACAAGCGGATATGAATAAGTTTATCTAGAGGAAGGCCATGTGATTTGATTTCACAATACAGCAACGTTGAGTTTTTCTATATATTCTTGCCATTTTGCATTCTAGCTTAAAGACACAATGATAGAAATCACAAGAATATTTTATTACATCGCTAAATTGGTAACTAATGTTTGCATGGTTTTTTTTTTTTTTTTATTTAATTTCAAATAACAAATGACTTCACCCCGGAACAGTTTTATTAACGCGAAAAGAGGACGTCTACCTCGTCTTTTTGGAACATTCTTCGCGAATTATATTTGGATGGATGAAGTCGTTATGAGGTTACGGGTGTAACTTAAGTACGATCGACCGAATGAAATTTCGCACGCCTCTGCAACGCCGGTGCAACATCGACGGATATGCCAAAATTATGGATCCTTGCGTGCGGTCTATATCAACTTGGGAATTACGTCTGAAAAGCGGAATGGGTTGGTCGGGAAGGGGATGCGAGAGGGCAGGGTACGCTTGAAAAGTCCAGACTCGTCGGCGCCCGGATGCCGTCACGACGTCTGAACTCTGGTATCTTCGGAGGATACAAAACAACCATCGCGTCTCGTCGGGGCGGAATTGGGCACGGCGAATTTCGTCACGCCATTTGAGCGCGCCGACGTTACTCCTTTACTGCGAAGCTGATAGACGACGCGAGACGAAAATTCTGGCGAACAAGAAGCACCGATCGATCTCCGTTTATTTATAGACGAATAGAAAAAAAAAAATTATTTCTTCACGGTACAAAGATGTAAATTAAATTTAACATGGATTACGTGTATCAATATTGAGCTAAATATAAACGTCCAATTTCAGATTCTAATTTTATCACAGGCCTTATTACATTTGATCTTACCACGATTATTTGAAGTGTAATGTATGATTTTATTCTTTAATGTAGTAAAATATACAGATATATACGTATACGTCTCTCTTTTTGACGAAATGTAAAACCAGTTTTTAATGAAGCAGCTGCAAGTCTCCCAACTGCGTGCAACAAGGGTCAATTCACGGATTGCCAAACACGTGCAGCGGTGCAAAAGCCTCGCTTAAAAAAGACTGCGTGCGGAATCCACGATGTCGCGGTCGTCGCCTCCCGTTCATCTCAGCTTGCCGGCGGGTAAAGTGTGTACAAATGCGTCGTCGCGACGCGACCCGACGCATCACATGTCCAAAGCGGCTCCAGAGAGACCGACAGCGACGCGCGTTCGTCAGTTCCACCGATAAATCTAGCCGTTTCTACGGGCGGGCAAAGGGCGAAAATAATTCCTCCCGTCTTCGCGCGGCGGAAACCTCGAGTTTCTGTTTTTCGTCGTTCTCACAAATCGTATTTATAAATCGCAAAACTGTAAGGAAAACACGCGATATATCCGCGCACGATATTCGGTAGAATATTTTTGTCACCCTATACGTCCCTCCTAAATTTCACGCGACGCGACGATGCGATGCGACGATGCGATGCGACGATCGCGGTGCCCGCAAACGGGATGCTGACGATATTTTAACCTCGTTTATACGACGCACCGGCTGAATTATGCAGAAAGCGGCGCAAAATATCGCACCGGCATCTCGAGGTGAGCGGCGAAGTGACGCAAAGGAGACAAGACGAGAGAATGACGAAATGCTCGCAATTTAGATATACTGCAGAGGCGTTGAAGCGCGATCCGACCTTACGCTTCTCCTCCCCCCCCTTATCACGCATGAATAAGACATTATCAGGCGTGGATCGGCTGAACTTGGTGTGAATGCCGCGCCCCGACTTTCGTCACTGTCATTCAGAATCTTTTCCATAAAGAGAAAAAAAAATCTTTACGTAATGCTGATTCTGATTATGAATGAGACGCAAAATCCCGATGAGAGATAGATATCACGTAAGTACGTTTCTTTGTATTTTTATCGTCGATATTTCAATTTTAATTTTGACACGCATGTAAATACGTCAATGTAAAAAAACTCTCGACAGGATAGGGAAAAGATAAATATTGAGATATTTTATGTTCGTATTCCATTACCAAACGCGCCAGAAGTCACGTCCGTGTTTTATTAAATATAATAACGCGAGTTGCAGCGTGAGCCATTCAGAGAGAGATCAATTTTTCAATTATGTAAATCATGAAATTTGTAAGGCGGATTGCCCGACATCTCTAAAGATTTCTCCGTTGATGCGAACAGAAAACGGTATTGGTCATTTTAGCTTCAAGGACTTTGTAATATCGTTTTAACGTAATTGTCGTAATAAGACTGCTCAATTGTAACAACGCGCGTTCCGCAGTCCTTCCGCCATCGATTATACTTCTTTAAACTTTGCTCCGATCACATTATCATAACAAAAAAGATGACGTTCGCAGCCAGTTAAACCTATAAACTTTCTTCAAAATAAATTCAACGATTGTCTCTGTTCTGATTGTTCCGTTTTATCCTTGGCCTACATGGAATAATGAGCGAGCGAAGGAGATGCGGGTTAATCGTGAAACAATACGAAACGAAGGAAAATCCCTGAAAATACAATGAAATTTCACTCTCCGCTTTTATTTTATTTGTTTGCAACAACGCGGTTTCGAAATAAAACTCCAACGCGACACTGTCGTATTTCAAGCTTATTATCGCGCGTATATATCGGTTGCGCTCCGCTTAAAAGGATCTCAAAATAATAAAGAATGTTAAAATATTTGGCCACACGAGCATAGCACACAATTCGCCGCGAATACTGTCGATATTCGCATGCGAGTTTACGAGCCGTAACCCCTAATCCCGGGCATGTACATCA